ATACGTTAGCATGTCGTCATCACTGAGAATATTTCTCCCAATGCTTCCTTCAGTGATGTATCCTCCCCGAAAACGTGACAAGAAGGGACAGTTGAATATTCAGGAAAAAGAAATTGTCCTTAACGTTTATAAGAGCGAAATTTTTAGAGCATCTTGAAATGAAACTTCATGATATTGAAAGACGTGTGGCGAACAAAACAGGCTTATGTCCTAAGAAAATTTTCAACATTGTTAAAGAATATAAAAAAAAAAAACAAAAAATGTCTCCACCACACAAGAGACTGCATTACAGGAAGCTGTTGGCTACAGGACCACATTCAGTTTACTCAAATAACTTCATTTTGAGTATACAAAAATGGACAGAAATAATATTTTGATGGACAGCCAAGAGATTATCTTATGGAGAAGAAATTATTTAAAATCAATAAAGAAATACCGCGACCAGGGCAAGAAGATTTATTACTTGGATGAAACCTGGATAAATGCAGGACATGCAAAACCTAAAGTATGGTCTGACTACAATTAAATCAAGCAAGACAAGACAAGCTCTGGCATAAAGAATCCGCCAGGTGCGTGTATCTAACCAATTCGTCATTTGTGTTGTAGAAATGGTGTTAAGTAGACTGAATCTACTCGTATGAGCCCACGTTGAAAACTTAGCTATACTAAACTCAACTATATCTGGTAGATTTGGAACCAACAGCTGTTAGATACTCTGCTTGTATTATTATTAGTTTTCTTGAATACTATATGAAATGTTCTATGGGCATTGGAGTCAAATAAAACGACCGACTACCATGAAGAAATGGACATTTGAACGATGGTTTGAAGAAACGCTCTCAAAGCTTAACGACAATGCCGTCATTGTACTTGATAATGCTACATACCACACTAGAAAACTGGAAAAAGTTCCCACAATGTCCACAAGAAAGGCAGAAATTCAACAATGGCTCCTATTAAAAGACATTAGTTTCAATGAAAATATGGTCAAAGCAGAAGTTATCCATCTAGTCAGGCAGCACAAATATAAATATCATCTTAATCTTATTGACGAAATGGTTAAAAACCAAAATAAGACCATTTTAAGGCTACCCCCTTATCACTGAGAATTAAATCCCATTGAAATGATTTTGGCAAATATAAAAAACTATGTACCTAGCTTCAAATAATAGAACATTAAAATTTTCTGACGTAAAAAAATTGTTTTATGAAGCTGTCAACAGAGTGACCGCAAACCCCTGGAAAGATTGCATCTGTCACGTTCAAGAGACAATCGAAACAAATAAGTGGGATCAGGACAGTATGATCGATATTCAAATTGAACCCGTAATCATTAATAAAAATGATTCAAGTGCCTCCAGCGAATGAATAATTGTGAAAAGTATGTGCACTTCTCATAGCCGCCCGATTCCTCGTGCATAGAATTTGTTTTTAATTATAAAATAACGAAAAACCTTACCCAAATACCCAGAAAATATCACATCGGATACAAAATAATAGATATCAAAAAAGAAAACACTCACTTATCAGTAGCACTCGTTGATCGACCGATCATGTTGAGCTTACGTAACGGAATGGAATTACTATTTAGAAAAATTGAATAAAAATATAAATAAAATATATTCAATAAGTCATCTCATTCAAAAAGCAATATTAATGGAATAAAAACAAAAACAGGCAAAACAACAATCATCAATATTCGTCAAATATCCTACTAACAATTATCACTCCTATTAGAGTTGCAAGATCGATTATACAGTCTTCCTTACCCAGCATTGCATGCTGTAAGAACATTGGCAAAACGCTCTTAGAAGAGCTATACAATCGGAATGAGCACATCTAATAGGACACCTCAGTCATTTAAGATGTTGTATAAGGGCTGCAGGTAACAGTTATACAACAAAAGTGTAAACCTCTTTCAGCCGCTATAGAACATTTGCGTCAGCGCAAGATTCAGTTTTTGTCAACTATACAACTATTCTGTTATGATTCTACTTTATTGCAACCAAACTATTTCTTATATATTGTATAGGCGAAGTGAAGGATATAAAAACTAACACATTACAGTCATCTTGTTTGCTTAAATACCGGCCATTGGGAATTTCATACACAGATATATGATAAACTTCTACACTGTGATATAGGGCTATTGAATTACTTGCGCAGCAAATTTTATTGTGACTATCGTGCAAAGTAGTTACGCAATTTGTACGGGCTTCGTATTTGATTCCACAAATCCTATATTTAGACACAATTACACTAATGTTTATCACTTTATATTTGTAATGTCGAACTGAAACATAATTTATTAATTTTCAATAGAAGAATATATTTTTGCCCAATATGGCGGGTGGTTATGTATAATCATGACATCGTCCATGTTGCCTTTAGTTTATTAGAATATTTTGGTGTTGTCTGCAAGTGTTATACAACAATTTGACAAATCTCGGAAATGAAATATGGACAGAGTCGAATGATTTACCCAGAATTTGTACCAGATCTATATCTCCTGTTTGAACAGTTGATAAAACCATATGCATGTCATAAAATATTGGTTATGGCATTTTAACTAAAAAGATGACAGCAGAAAGTTAAGTTATGGTGAAGTTGTATACCAACATATTTAGCAACAAATGTATGCCGAGCACAGCAATTTTGTACTATAAAAGTTGTAATATTGTTGCAGATATATAGCCTTTAACAGTTACTAAACGACAGTTGTATAAGTGCTTTCGTGGGGAGCAATTTGTTGGCTAAAGTAGTAAATGTACACACCAAAACAACAAGGCTCGGGTTTGTTGTATAAACGTTACCATGGATGCCACAACACAACTATTTTGACTACCGCGCGAATATGCCGTATAAAATAGTTGTATAGATTATGCAACCGTTCAAAATTTGTCCTAGAAGGTGTTGTATAGCTATGTTATACGAATATTTTAAATACCTCATTTTAGAGCAAATATGCTGCAGAAAGCAAATTTGCATGACACACAACATTAAGCCAGCATTTTGGTGTTCAGGCAACAACAATAGAGAGCGTTTACGGCTGAACAGTTCTTTTACCAAATTATTATAGCACTACTTTGTTAGTTGGGATGTGACGAGTTCATAGAATTTTTCACAAATATAAGAGAAAATTTGTCAAATAATATCAAACAAAAGGGTGACGTTTAATTACGTGGAAAAAGACTGAATAATTCATATGTATTAACTGAAATAGGCTGTCAGAATGTTTTCAATGCCATTGTGTCTCTAAAAAATAAATAAAAGCCCTGGAGTTGATGAAATTAGAGCCGAGCACCTGGAGAATGCTGGCAAAACAAATAGCAGAATCACTTGCTTATATCAATAAACAATCCTTCCAATCTGGAATACTTCCATCAGCTTTCAAGACAGCATTCATTGTACCTATCTGAAAAGCGAATAATAATACAGATGTCACTAACTATCGGCCTACTTCACTTGTATCAAGTTTTTGAGAAATTACTCCTTAGTAAAATGATTAACCTTTTTAATAAATTCAAAATTTAAAACTCAAATCAATATGGTTTTATAGCAGGTAAATTGACAACAGAAGGGATATTAAGTATAGTAGATGAAATTACCCAAAATATGGATGAAAAGGTACCATCGATATGCGTGTTTGTCGGTTTACAAAAAGCGTTTAACACCGTTTACCACCATATACTTATATATAAGAATATGTTTTTAAATAGGCCGTAATCAGTAAAAATATCAAATTCATATAGTTTAAGAAATATTTGCTAAATACAAGGTACAGTTTTGGGTCGTCTGTTATTCAATATTTATTTAAACGATATATTCAAAATTAATAGTACTGATAAAATACGTTAGTAAGTTTCGCGGATTGGAACGACATGTAAGATGTTATGCAAAACGACTTTTGTAAAATTATCCAATGGTTTAGTAACCGCAAATTAACAATTAACTTTGCTAAAACTCATTAGGAGGACCGTCATCAGCAAAGCTGTGGATTGGATCGGTCGTGCAGGAAATGAGGTCGTTGATATGTAAGAACAGAACAGTGTTGTGGCCAAGACTAATTACTGGGGAACACCTTGTTTGACGTTGTGAAGAGGAGAACGACGGATATCTTGCGACCAGATAGAACGTCAGCCAACCATCTGCAAAGTTTCTCTGGGAGGCCAAAGGATGGAAGTTTGATCCTTTTTTTGGGTTGAGTTGAGCAAACTGGAGCAAACTCCGCTGTAGACATTTTTAATACAACGGCAGGAATCAAGTTCGGACCAGAAGCTTTGTTGATGTCGAGCAACAAGAGCACCCGTCTTATGATTTTATGCCTGTATGTTACTTCCCGCTAAGTCTTGGGAACCCGTTGAATCGACGACAATCGGGCGTTCGAGGGGGAGTTGGCAGCAAAGATCTTCGCAAGCACTTCCGCCTTAGCCTTTGAATCGGTTGCAATCGTTCCACCCTGTCACGTAAGTGGAGGAGTTCCTTTGAAACTGATTGGCCAGAATTCAGAAAGACCGACTACCGTTGCGCTACGGCATTACCCTGTGCCTAACTTTTATATTTTTGGCATTGCGGACCCCTTCGTTATATTTTTTTCTTGACTTAACGTTGGCTCGTCTGTTCTCCACAGTGGGGTTTTGTAAGAAGGTTCGGTGTGCCTCAACCTTCTGCTGACGAGCAGTGTGGCACGAATTATTGAACCAGTTTAGGCACTTTAACTGTATGAGTGATGTATTCCTCCATTAAAACGTGACTGTTATCGATGGACAGCCGACACATCTGCCTTAGCGGAACAAACATCTCTCCAAGGAAAGGTTGCCACAGCAGGTTCTGACCGAAACCTAACCTCCACAACACCATCGTTTGAGTTACAAAGAGGAGACAGGACAGCAGTGATGCTTTTGAAACACACTATTAGGTATTTTGCTTGATTTGTTTCTTATGAACAACAAATTGGGGGTTGGATTATGGAAATTATCCTCTACTTTTCCGTTACATACCATGAATGTTGCATCCGTCGCAGCGATTTCCATTTCGGCTGTACCTTCCCCTCCTTCGGCTCCTTCTCCCGCTCCTTCATCAGCCTGAGCCTTCGTCTTCAGTTTCAATCGAATTTCTCTGTTACGTGCTTCTAGAATCTTTTCACGTCTCGTTTCCCTCTCGAACATCTACGTTTATTAAATTAATTTCAACGTTTTTAGTTGCAAAAATTTGCGGACTTAAAGTGAAAAGTCACGAAAATTCATGACATTAATTTCCGTCGGCCTTTTTGTTGGAGTTCTTTCATTGACCTATATGGAGTGACTAGGATGGAAAATAAGTCTAAAAATAACAGGGAAAGTTCTGATTTTGGTTTGGGTTTCAAATTTAAATACATACAGTTGAGAAGACCACAAATCCTTGACATACTTCAGCTTGATATAGAACTAGAATTTGAAAGCTGCGGCATCGGCATTTTTCGAGTAAGTATGAAAATGAGGTTTGAGAAATCGCTGTTCTGTGCTCATTAGCAGCTTACTAGTGCGGTACATGTCTTAGGTCTTGCTAATGAACACGAAACAGCTCTTATTAAAATAAGAAGGAATTAAAAAAAAAGAAACCAGATCTGGAATTATTAAATACCATATTACTTTTACTTAAACTTTATAAGCACTACTTTGTAAAATTCTCATTAAATCAAGTTAGTAATAATTAACGAATTTTTAGTTTTGTGTCACCTACACCAAACTAAAATAGCTAACTGAATAAATAAACATGCTCAACTAAAAATCCATAATCAATTTTGCACGCTAATATAAGTGCCGTCATTGGCTTTTTTATATATGGTTAAGCAGTGCAATATCCATCTTACAGTGTGGTGATTTCGATAAAATCAATTTCAACAGTATCTAAGATACCTATGTGATATTGATTTGGCGTGTTCTGATACAAAACACTGTATAGGTATACGTAAAGCATGATCTTAGATTTTTTCGGATTTAAAAAGACATATCTATTAGGGTGTCCTAAAAAAATGAAAGTTCTTTTTCTCCAAACACATACTCTCTAATTTTTTTTCCATTTGACTCTAACAACTCAAAAAATAAATATTATTGCGATCGAGGAGTGATAACCCGGCTTTCGGTCAAACTTTGAACTTGAAAGTTAATAGGGAAATCTTGTATAATTTGAAAACCTAATTCTTATTCGACAAATAAAACACTGCTTTGTCATTTAGGTTTTTCGGGCTGTTGAGTCGTGGAGTGCGTGTTTGCCCACCGCTGATTTATCAGTTTGTCCCAGTTGACAGTTTCTTTTATGCTCATTCATGCGTGTTTGGATGCTACTACTTAGCCCGAATATACAGAGAACCAATTGAAATCTACAAATACAATGATAATTTCAATAGAAAAGAAGAAGGCCTTGCTTTAAACAAAACGTAGTTCCCAATTATGAAAAACACAGCGCAAAAACCACGTCATTCAAGGGACCCAGAGTACCCCCACCAGACAGCTCAGTTCTCAGTCCGCCGATCGCCTAAAAAACCACACGCCTATCCAGTTTTCCGATCAGTTTCAGTCGACCCGCCAAGCCGAGCACTCTCTCGCCGACAGCGCCACTGAAGATGGCTACCGCAGATGTAGCCGAAAGCTCTGGATCAGATCCAGCCCGACCACGGCTCAATAGCCCGAAAAACCTAAATGACATTAGAATTGGCCGTGAAAGTCTTCATTCTTCAAAATGCAGCTTTATTTGTATCTAACGTATATTTCTTAGACATTTATCATTAAAAGAACAATATTTACTGAATTTTATTTTCAAAGTTTCTTTTACAGTCAGGATATATATATATATATATATATATAGATAAGTTTATAAAAAGTGTTTGAGCAACGTCGACAAGAGTTTGTTACTAACATGTTGTTGCAATTTGATATTGAGCATGCCGATGCCATTCAATTGATGAAAGTAATTGAAGACAGTATCTTCCTGCAGCGGCAGAGAAAGCTTGGTCGACCTGGTCATTTAGCTGGGTGGACAAGAAATTAGCCGTAAAAGAAGAAAAGGCGCGTCTTAGGAAAACCGAAGAAAAAAGCGGCGAGCTAAATATGTCGCTTCCTTAACTTCTTCATCATCTTACGAACCAGTTCAAGAAAATTCATCTTCGAATTCCGAGATATACAAGAAGCTTTCCTCATTCCAACTCAGAGCACACAGTCTGATACTAATCAAACTCAAGTCAGGAAAAGTTTCATAACTCCAAAACTAGTGGCAGCTTTAGGTAGGTGCCAGTTGAGTATGAGAAATGCTGCTTTTATTATTGAAGCAACTATTGAGGCACGTGGACATAACACTGACGAGTTTCCTATAAGCAAGACCTCTATTCAAAGAATTCATACCGAAAAGCGAAAGGTCGGGCAGAACCTATGAAACTTGATTTCCAAAGCGAGGTATCGAATACTGTAACTGTCCACTGGGATGGCAAATGTTGCTACCCTTAAAAGCACGCAAGTCTAAAGACGAACGTCTACCCATTGTTATAACGTATGAAAATAAAGAGTAACTCATCGCTGTGCTCAAATTGGATAGCTTTTCAGGCAGCGAGCAGGCTCAGGCAGTTTGGGATGCTATTATTGACTGGAATCTTGAAGATAAGTTTCAGATTCTCTGTTGTGATACTACTGCTTCAAGTAAGGGTTGCATTAACGGTGCTTGCGTGCTTCTCGAACAGAAAGTTAATAAAGAAATGCTTATTTTTGCTTGCCGTCATCACCTCTACGAATTGGTATAAGAAGGCGTGTTTGAATAAAAAATCGATCAAGTTACTACAAGCAATGACATTCCAATGTTTAAAATGTTTCACGAGAGCTGGAAAAGTGTGGATCCCGAGAAAATACAGATTTATACTAAAAATCTATCATGCCTGAACATTTCATAGACCGTCAAGCTGCTAGAGTTTTATCGACATGAATTGACCATAGAAGTTGCTAGAGTTGACTTTCGAGAATTAATAGAACTTCCAATAATACTCCTTGGCGGAGATACTGAGAGAAAATTTTAGATTCGACCTCCAGGCGCCATGCATCAAGCACGATGGATGGCCTATTAAAATAGCGTTACCAAGTTCCCAGATCAAACTTTCTAATAAGGATAAGGCAGCTTTGTTAGATATCTGCCTGTTCATCGTGACAACATACGTTGTTGCAATGTACTTTAGCGGTAAAAGCACCTAAACGGGATTTATACTTTTTTAAGGCAATGAAGGCTTACGAAAGAATTGTGAAAAGCATTTCAAAAACAGCTTCACAAAAACTCTGCCAACATTTATGGTATTTGACAGATGACGTAGATGGGGAAACGAAAGAAAAAATGGTTACTAATTTAGTCAAAGAAAGTCCATTAGAACACGGTAAACGCTATATCTCATTGAAAGAAGAGCTTTGTGGCCCTCTTTATGGTAAGTCTGACGAATAAATAAATTTTCCTTTGTCTTCTTTTACTGTTTCGATATTAATATGCTATAAGTTGCTTGTTAAAAGGCGTATTTGAATCAAAGATCGACCATGTGACTACAATCCCTGACATTCCAATGTTTATATATAACGAAGCGGTTCGCAGGCCAAAGACCAGCACGACATAAAAGTTAGGCACAGTGTAATGCCAAGCTGGCCAAGCAGATTGAAAGGAACTTCTCATACAGTAGCCTTCCACCAATTACGTGTCAGGATGAAACGATTGTAACCGACTCAAAGGCTAAGGCGGAAGTGCTTGCCAAGATATTTACTGCCAACCCCACCATAGATGTCCCCCCAACGCCCAAGATATCCGTCGAAATTGACGGGTTTTTCTCCCACACCGTCAACGCGGGTGTTCACCAGGGGTCGGTCTTGGCTCCGACACTGTTCCTCTTACATATCAACGATCTCATTTCCTGTACGATCAACCCAATCCACAGCTTCGCTGATGACATCACTCTACAGGAATTCAGAGTGACAAGCCGATCTCTGCCGCTGAGCTAGAAAAAAGAAGACTAGCGACGACTTCCTCTCTGAGGAGAGACCTGGAGGTTATTACTGCTTGGGGACGAAACAATCTTATACAGTTTAATGCTTCCAAAATACAGTACTGTACCTTGTCGAACAAAAAGCGTCGTGGCGCTCATCCGGGGTCGATGGATGGCCGAGTCTTGCTAAAGAGCCATTCATTTCGGCTGGTCGGAATCCAGCTGATGGGAAAAAGCCAGCCTATTTGTTTAGGGCTGAGAAGTTGTTACAGTTTATTTTTGTGGTCGACTAAAAATTAAGTGGGTCTTGATAAGGAAAATTGTACAGTTCTCAAAAACATCGAATTTAATTTTTATAACAAACCACTTCTCTTAGTCTAATAATTTTGTGGTAGGAAATCATACTCTACTTTCCATCTCGTTAAAGATTTTTTTTGATAATTTCTGCCGACTGTAAATACGAGAGAGAGCTGAAGGTGACTTGGTGCTATTTCCAGTGCTCTAATGTATGAATTCAGCGGCCCACTACCCGATTTTTTGAATTAGTCTCACACGCAGTGCTTGCGGATTTATCGGGTGGTGGAGATTTTTAGAAATCGGCCCCTTTCAGTGATTTTCGGTGGCCTTTTTCTCACCATCTTGGGGATTTACCCGTAGACATAACTACACTCAACCATCGAGTTGGTAAGTGACCATTTTTTCCAAGCCACGTGTTCACTTCCTCAACATGATTTCCAATTCTATAGAGGGGAATGGTCTGCAGTGAGAAGCAGTTCCCCATTTTTCTGAACCCTCTTTTTTCGAGGTAATTATGATTTTTTTTTACTTTGCTAGGCCTGCCTTGATCTCGTAAAAATTGAAAACCCAACCACTTCGTTCAAAATTTAAGCACAACATCAGTAATTTTATTTGTTCCAGTTGAGGCGTTCTTATGTAACATTAGGGTTATACTTTGACTATCTAATTATCCATTGTTTAGTTCAATATGGAATTCGTCAAAAGCTATTAATTCATTAACTTATTTAGTAGTAAAAAATGTTTTGAATTTCTCATTGGTAACATTTATATATTGTTCTGTATCATAGTACATACACTGAATATAGTATAGTGTTATTTTTATATTGTTGTAGCTTCTAATTTTGGTTGTATATTTACTGAAATTTGAGTGAGTCATGCTCACGAGGTAAAATATTCATGTGGTTCTCAAGTAACATTTTAATCGCTTTACTCATAAATTGAGTGAGGACATGAAATATTTTACCTGCGGTTCCTTATGTTTTTTTTATTTAAAAATTTGGGTATTGCTAGTGCAATCACGATGTTCCTTGTACACCGAGATTGGACCGTTGCTTTGTTTTAATTTTGAATTTTTGAATTGATGTAAACCAAGACTAAATGGTTCCATTTTAAAGATAAATGGTTAATTCTTGGAAACACGTTAAAAGGGAGGAATTATTAGTCAAATCATTATTTCGGGATATTTTTAACAAGTAATTTTTTCTATTCAGTCTTCTACCTTTGGGTGTAGAGTTACATCTGGGACTTCCTGCCCTCGGTTGCCTTCCGGTAATGGCCAAGCACCTGCCAAGGTGTTTTTTCCTGTTCTTTATTAGTTAGTTTTATTTTTTTTAATTTTTTATTTCTTTTGTTCAAGAAATGTTTGTGTACCTCGTGAGTTTGTATCTTCTTTAGCGTCAGAGATCCAACATTGGTTACTTGTTATTTCTTTTCCTAGTTCTTAGAACAAACTAGGTGGTGCCCAAACCATAACCATTTGTATCCAAAAACCAAGGTACAAAGAACCACCCTCTGATGGCTCATTAACTACGACTGAGCAGCATTTCTGGGGGATAACACAGTACTTTTCTCCGGATAACCTTATCACTCTATACAAGACCCAGATAAGGCCTAGAGTATTGCTAACACGTTTAGGGTGCTGCCGCCCCGACTACATTATTCATGCTCGATGCTGTCCATAGGAGGGCTGTCCGATTAATCGATGACTCGTCTATAACAGACAGTCTAGGGACTTTTTGCACCGGCGTGCCGTTGGCGATCTAGCTCTCTTCTACCGCTACACCAACGGGCTTTGCTCCTCAGAGCTCTCTTCCATGATGCCGCCACGCGATGTGCCTGCCAGACAGACCCGCCTGTCTTTGGCGCCCCATCCTAACCGTGTCGAACTTCGTATATCCAGAACTGGCCGATACGACCGCGCCTTTGTCCCGAGGGTGTCGAGATTGTGGAACAATCTACAATAGGAAGCTTTTACTTGTTCTACTAATCTTAGGCAGTTCAAAAATCGGATGAACAAGCTTGCTTTGGTGTCCACATATCAGCCGCGTTGTCCCGGCATTTAGGCTTCTGCCTGCGCGGCTGCTTCGGTGTAAAAAAAGAAAACTTTGAAAAGAACATTTAGTAAATAATGATAAATATCTAAGAAATATAAGATGCAAATGAAGTAGTGTGTTATTTGTCGAATAGGTTTCGAAATCCATCCATGGTTTCCCTATTAAATTTGACCGAAAGTCGGCACGGGTTATCGTTCACAGATCACAATTATATTTAGAGGGTATGCGTATCTCAGTTCGAACAAAAATTTGTTGTGAGCAACGAAGCCGTATACATTCGTCCAGTCTCAGAGAATGGTTGAGGAGGAAGCTATACGTTTGGTCCGAAGAGCTGAAGTGATTGTAGAGGTTGAGGCAAATATGTCACTATATTCTTATTATACTCGTATCCATACGCGTGCCTCGACGTACACGCGTTTAATGAGCCAGTGGTCTGTAGATCTAGGAGGCTCAGGAAGGGTGTCTAACATGAACATTTTTGGGACAGTTCATTGTAGATCCAGCAATATAAGTTTGTTGGAAAACAGGTGTTTTGAGCGTTTGGGGAAATAGCAAAAAACTCATTTTTTTCTGGATATAATCTACTAGCGTCATACTGCTTCTAATGGAAACTAGATGTGACTTAGGACCATGTGTAATGGCGTCTCAAACCTAACTCTTACAATATGGTGCTTGTGATGTTCAACTGAAAACCTACATTACGTCTTTATCCGGGGCCTTCTGGCACATGTTCATTCATCGCGCATTCCTAAGCAGAACGAGGATCGAGAAAATTGGGATGATGAATGGTCTATCATTGTCATAGTTCTGTTTAGGAATGTATGATATATTGACACGAGTCAGAAGGTGAGGCGGAGGAAGGTGTAATGTAAGTTTTCAGTTGAACATCTTCATATTGTAGGAGTTATGCGCTACGTATGGTGAAAAGTCACCTCTAGTTTTCATTAGAAGAAGGGATCGCGACGCAATAGTCAGGTTCAGGAAATACTGGAACCCCATCTGCTGACATTTCTCCAAACCCTTGAAAACACCATTTTCCAACAAGGTAATACTTGTCTGAAATTGCTATAGTTGTAAAGAAAGTTACATCAATTTCGTTCGAAACAGCCTCCTTCGTTGGCACCTTTGACCTATTGAACATGTGTGTGATATGAGGGGAAGAAGGATGGCTCTTCTTAACTTTATCCTCCATAAACGCTAGCAGCTCTCCGGAACCAAGTATAGACAGCTTGGGATCAAATACCTCAAAAACAAAAATGACCTCCTCGGAAGCATACTCCGATGACTGGATGACTGTATACTCGTACGGTATCGGGGTAGCACAATTCACTGGACAACAAATTTTAGTTTTTTAATTGTATCTTGTGGGAAAAGTGCACTTCTTTGTTAATTTTGGGGCGCTGAATCCAAAAATGACAATGAAATAAAAAAATTAGTTGCGGTTTAGAAAAAAAACTTTTTATTTTTAAGGATATATTAAAAAAAGTAACAAGATTCATATACTTATAAGAATCACTATATGCGCTGTCTTTTTGCTGTTCTTTTATGGATCGTTTCTGGAGCATCTCTACCAAGAGTCCAACAGTAGTCTGCAAGCATGAAAGGATTCCACTTTCCCTGGTACCTTTTTTCCATTGTTGAAATATCCTGATGAAAACGTTCGCCGTCCTCATCACTTACGGCTCCGCAATTGTCAGGAAAAAAGTCCAGGTGTGAGTGTAGGAAATGTATCTTAAGAGACATATTACAGCCCATCTTTTGATACGATGACAGCATATTCTTGACAAGGGTTTTATAGTTGTCAGCTTTTCAATTTCCCAAGAAATTAGTGACCACCAGACGGAAATCATTCCAAGCAGTTTTTTCAATACCTGTTAAAGTGTTTTCAAACTGTGTATCTTTCAAAATATTTCGAATCTGTGGCCCAACAAAAATACCTTCTTTAACCTTTGCCTCACTTAGTCTTGGAAATTTCTGACGCAGGTATTGAAAAGCTGACCCATCTCTATCTAATGCTTTGACAAAGTTTTTCATTAGGCCCAACTTGATATGCAGTGGTGGTAATAAAATTTTTTTCGAATCTACTAATGGCATATGCTGTACATTTTTTTGACATGGCTCTAGGAATTGACGAACAGGCCAGTTTTGTCTGGTGTAATGAAGTGCCCGACTGTCCCATTCACACAAAAAACAGCAAAACTTTGTGTAGCCTAGCTGCAGCCCAAGTAAAAGTGCAACAACTTTCAAATCGCCACAAATATGCCATTGGTGCTCATCGTATTTTATGCATGTCAATAGGTACTTTATATTGACATATGATTCTTTCATGTGAACTGCATACCCATATTTCCAATATGCAATAACACTGCCTTTAAACTCAATGTTGAACTGTCTATAAATAATCTCCATTCTTCTGGGTTATAGTTTATATTTAAAGCCACCAGTAAGCCGTTAATGTTACTGCAGAAAAAAGTTATTCTCCATATTGAAAAATGTTTCTAAGTCTTTGTGGCGTTTACGAAAAACACATACCGAAACATCGTCTTCTAACAAGTTCCACTGCTGCAGTCTTGATCCAAGTAACTCTGCCTTACATTTTGGAAGTTCTAAATCTTTTACAAGATCATTTAATTCTGACTGTGTTATTTTGTGCGGTTCTTCCTGACGAATCACTCGATCGCCATGATCTGATTCGTTTTCTTATTCGCAAGTGTAGGATTCTGGGGGTTTTGGAATAGGATTTTCGTCACTGTGAGGCACAGGTCTCATCGCAGATGGTATGTTTGGGTAGTTAATAACCGATTTTTTTTTCTTGGACATACATGTGGCTTGTCCAACACAAGCTACCATGCAAAAGTAACAATCATTAATATGATTTGTAGGCTATCTCCAAACCATTGGGACAGCAAAGCGCATAGACCGTTTTTTGCCATTTAACCAGCTCCTCAGACTTGAAGCACATGTATTACAGCAGATGTGGGGTGCCCACTGTTTGTCTTGATCATCTAGTTTACAACCGAAATAAAGCTGATATGCCTTTGTTATTAGTGGAGTAATAGACCGTCTCTGAGACGCAAAAGTCACATCACCACACACGTAACAAAACTGATCTGGATTGTTTACACACTTTCGAGACATCTTGCATGAACGCTGTCAGCCAACTGAGGAAAAAATGGTTAATATAAAACAATATAATGTACACGTATGTATAACGTAACACAATCATGCCCATTACATCATCTTTCCTTGCCGAATATAAAAATGTAGCACGTGCATTCTTGTGAATTACAGTATATTAACACTGTCACAGCAGGAACACATATAATTACCGTATCTCTGAAACTTGAACTAATATTGAAAAAATAAGTTTCATTACGGTTTTAGCACATTAAAAATAGTAATATTTTGTTGATTTTATTTAGGATATTTTTTGGCTGTTGATCAGTGTTATTAGCGAAATCTAGCGATACAGCAAATGTTTTCACTACAAAATTCATCCACGACATCCTCTTGCTTAGGACAAACTGTACACTGTGGCCCAACGAAAAGGTCGCACCTGCATTTGTGACTGTATACAAAATTAAGATTATTTTTACAGTATAAATGCATCGTGCTTCAAATATGCCACCCTCAGGTCGCATATTTCCCGAGCTTCCAAGAAGCACTCGCTGATATTGCAATTGTCTAAATATTTCGTCTAATGTTCCAATATTATTTACCGCAGTAAGCAGCATTTTATCGTTCTTGTTGCATACTGATAAATTCTCACTGAATTCCACTAAATAAGTAGTGCCTCTTTGGTTTCCAACTGCTACTAGTCTTCCCATTTCGTGAGTCCTCAGACATCGCAAAGCCTCGTCGCATACTTTCACTCCTAAGGCAGCTGTCTTTTGCTGTTGCAGTATATCCCACACATCCAAAGTTCCATCGCTTCTTGTGGTGAAGAAAACTGATAACCTTAAACACAGGGTGAAATGTATGTTTCGAATAAACTGAACTGCGTTATGCATGACTTGACCAAGAGACAAAGCCTCTTTTTATGTTAATAAAAAAACTTTAACAATTCGTTAAAAGTCAATGGGACGTCTGTTTTTATTAATTTTTGTATTCTGAATAGTAATTTGCATTACAAATTTATGTATGTGATCATTTTTCCAGAAACTCATACCTGAAACCTAACAAATAAAATATCGCATGGTCAAGCAATTCTTTCAAAAAGAATGCTTATTTTTTATTTTATTCGATGACTACAATACATAAATGTTAGGAATACATTACAGAAATATCCTTTATTTAAACATTTCCAAAACCAAAAGTCACGTAGCTTGCGTGTCAAATTTTGTGATCTCGATTATGTACTCATTTCGGTAAGTGAGGTAGCCTTTCAAGGGTACAATAAAGTCGTGGTTGTTTTCTTGTCATGTTGATTTTGAAGATGAAAGGAAAAGCGCACATGCGCAGACATTGCTTTAAGTTGTAACTTATTCATCTCCCTTACACCTGCTAATAAATGAAACGACAGATGTTGAATGGTCTAGTTTTCTGGCGTTTCAGCCAGCTCGGCTACTTTTTTTAAAAGACCGAATCAAATTAATGGCATACAAGTTTATGTAATTGATAATTAATTAGACAATAACTTTTATTTATTTATACTTTTATGGACGACAGAATTCATTTGTTTCAGCAGCTTCTGTAGACTACTAAGTAAGTTTTGACTGCAGGTGATAGATTTGCATTGTTCCAAAACGCAACTAATGGCGCTTCAAATGCAGCACCTGTAGTCAAAGATTGCTTAATAATTTTACATCGGCGGCTAAAGCAAAGGGACTAGGTCGCCTGCAAGACAAATCAATATAAGTTATTGACAGATTCATTATCAATTTCGTAAACTTAACGTCATTATTTTGATGTGCACTATGAAAAAGCTGCCGAGGCAGTCGAAACGTTATTAAACTAGTAAACTTTGCGACAATTGAGAAGACTATTTGGTCAGAATGAAGCTCCGTCCGCGATTGGTATACGAACATTCGTGAAAGAAGGTTCGTGAAACTGGCCTGCTTGTGGATAACAGAAGGTATGGGCGTTTTCGATCCGTACGTACAGTCGAAAACACTGCTGCTCTTGCCCAGAGTGTGCGTGAAAACGCAAAAATGTCAATACATCACAGAGCACAACAAGTGGGCATCAGTCGCACTTCTGTGCGGAGAATATTGCATAATGACCTGGGATTATTTCCTTACAAGGTGCAACTTGTGCAAGAGCTGAAACAAAATGACCATCCGCTTCGGTATCGTTTCTCTGTGAGGGCTCTGAATCAATTGGAAACGAACGTCAATTTTGGTCGCCAAATCATCTCGGACGAAGCTCATTTCCATCTCGGAGGTTACGTTAACAAGCAGAACTGTATGATTTGGGGTTCTGAAAATCCACATGACGTTATAGAAAAACCAATGCATCCAAAAAGAGTAACTGTTTGGTGTGGCTTTTGGAGTGGTGGGATAATTGGTCCCTACTTTTTTCAAGATGAAGATGGTAACAGCGTGACGGTAAACGGGGAACGCTTTAGAGACATGTTGAGGAGTTTTTTGTGGCCACTATTGGACGACATGGACTTGCATAATCTCTCGTTCCAGCAGGATGGCGCAACATGCCACACCAGCCGTGAAACAATCGACCTTTTACACACTAAGTTCGGTCATCGCGTTATCAGCCGTTTTGGAGACGTTAAGGACCGCTGTTACACTAAGTATTATCAAACAATTGATGTTCTTAAGGAAAATATCCGTCGAGCTATTGATGACATAGACCCACAAACTATCGAAAATGTGCTTCAAAATTGGGTTAAGAGGATGGACTACTGCTAGACCAGCCGCGACAGCCATTTAACTGAAATTCTTTTTCATAAATAATCGGAACGTGTATTCTTTTGAATAAAGTATCGAGTGTTACATATTATTGAAGAGCGTAGTTTTAATACCAATTTAAAAAAGAAACTAAGGGATGGTCCACCCTTTATATTCAACATCTGTGGTTTCACTTATTAGCAATGTACGGGCAATTATATCGTTTTATTATTATGCACTATCAATGGAGTGTTTCTATGTTGGTCTATTTCCATCATCTCGAATGGCTTGGATCAACATTACTGATGGATAACGAACAGCAATAGAATATGTCGTTAACAATACTTGTAGTCCATTGGTCTTGGATCAGTTCTTAGTGTTCTGTACTCAATGATTGAATGATGGTCTATCATTATATCACTTACGTTCTGTAACTTGTACGAACTGCACGTGCGTTTTGGGTATACCTACTTCGTGTTTAAATAAAATTGGGTTTGGGCATGTACTCAACTGCATGTTTTATGTATCGACTCTAACAACAAAAACCACAATAAACGTCGGCACATGTGTCTAGGGTTTGAGCGCCAGATTTGCAACTACAATAAGTCCATTAATTACTGTAAGATGATTAGGTAAATCATTATTTCCAACTGGTCTAGAAGATATCCATGATTGATGTTTCTAAAACGTGAGTAAACTCTTGCTCTACTCAAACTATGTTAGGAGTGGGCAATCGATCCTCGCTTCTTAGCAGCTCCATCTGAAATTTTTCATTTTCATCCCTTTGAAGTTTGTCCACACTATACGAGGGTTAGGGTGTCCCAACCTATGAGGACAAACAAATTTTTGTTCGACCTTCAGTCAAAGTTTGAATTTGAAAGTTAATAGGGAAACCATGTATGGATGTCAAAACCTAATTCTTATTCGACAAATAAAACACTGCTTTATTTGTATCTTATATTTCTTAAATATTTATCATAATAATATTTACTGAATTTTCTTTTAAAAGTTTTCGTTTTACAGTACCTAAGGATATATTCTTAGCGTGTTGAAATGAATCATTATGTGGCCATGAAGTTGGACACTCGTCGAAAAAGCGGTCTTCAATTTTTAGCCTACTGAACACTGAACTGATTGCAACAAAGTTACCGATAATTTTCTCTGAAATGGAAAAACCGAGAATATTTACCATCTAAAGAAACTGAATTTGTCCGTCCGACCACAGACAGTCAACCATGTACAGATGTTTTGTGCTTTTTGGCAACTCATCAGCATCGTCTAGGATTGGCCTCAAGTCAGGACAACGAACGAAAGCATAGCAACTCACCTCTATCTGAGGTATAAGATCTATCGAAACAAGACAGTACGTATATAAGGTGCCATCTATTGCCAGAATCACAGTTTATGCTGGCTTATTTTAACAGTTAACACATTATATCGAAGTAGTAGAAGAAAGAGGAAAATTTACTCGTCAAACTTACCATAAAGTGGGCCAGAAAGTCTTCTTTCGATGTGATGTAGCGTTTACCGTGGACTGATCGACCTTTTTTGGCTAAATTAGCAACAATTTTTACTTTAGTTTCCTCATCTACGTCGTCGTCAAATAGAGATAAGACAGAGACTACATCTGTCAAATACCATAAATGTTGGCAGAACTCTTGTCAAGCTGCTTTAGAAATGGTTTTGTCAATTCTTTCGTAAACCGTCATTGCCTTTAAAAAGCATAAATCCTGGTTAGGTGATTTTACCGCTAAAGTACATTGCAACCATGGTTCCACGTATGTTATCAGGATGAATAGGCAGATATCTAACAGAGCTGCCTTATCCTTATTAAAAAGTTTGAGCTGGGAACGTGATAACGCTTAAATTTTTTCTTTGTATCTCCGCTAAAGAATATTATTGAAAGTTCTATTACTGCTCGATAGTCGTCTTTAGCAACTTCTTTGATCAGTTCATGTCGATAAAATTCTAGCGGCTTGTGAGTCTCTGAAATATTCAGGCATGCTAGCTTTTCAGTATAAATCTGTATTTTCTCGGGATCCACACTTTTCCAGCTCTCGCGAAACTTTTTAAGCATTGGAATGTCAGTGGTTGTAGTCACTTGGTCGATCTTTGGCTCAAACACGCCTTTCAACACCAAGTCGTAGTGTTTTATTTGTCGAATAAAAATTAGGTTTTCAAATCCATACACGGTTTCCCTATTAACTTTCAAATTCAAAGATTGCCCGAACGTAATATTTATTTTTTGAGTTGTTAGAGTCAAGAAAAAGAGCTTTCTTTTATTTTGGGACACCCTAATGAAGGTGGTAAGGTATTTCAAGTAATTCATTTCTGAAACCAGAAAATCATTCAGTTGCCGGCAGCTGAGCCTACCCATCTTTGAGCATTCCTTGTGTGAAGACCTTCTACTTTACCTAACGCTTGAACGACGTTTGGTTCTTGAATTTCAATGCCAATAGCTGATGCACTTATGCAACATTAGCACGTTCCATAATAATTGGAAGATAGTAGCTATTAATAAGATCACCAGCTATTTTATAAGGGATTCCTAGATTTGATACATGATGCATTTGGATAGTGGATATCTTTTTTTTCAAGTCATCGTTGGTTGTCAGAGCGGTCCGTGGGACCTTAGCTCTTGAGTCACAGTGTCAGTTTATAAGTCTGTCAAGTCTGGTAACTCAGAAAACAGACAATTTTAAGGAAACAAAGGAAGGAAAGGGAAGAAGGAAGAACGAGAGCAAAGAGGAAGAAGATAATCTTTCATAATAGGCAGCGTTTAGGCATTGTTAAAATCACTTCACAGATTTTGATATGGTCTAAAAATATTTGATTTTTTCTAAAGATTTTGTCAAAATGTTCCAATTTTGGTTGTTCTACGTTCACGAATCAATTTTGATTACAGTGCGAGCCGCGGCCCTTTGTGCTTGCGAACTTGCTCGACTGTGTAGTCCACTGACTCGCGTAACAGAGGGTTGCTGAGCGATTCCGCTAGGCTATAGCGCCTCTGTGCCTTTTGCTTAATGAACCCTTTAGGTAAGGGACATCGAGATCTCTATGAAGAGTTTCGTTAGAGACATACCATGGGGCGTCAGCAATAGTGCGCAACGTCCT